AAATTTCGTCAAAAATAAGTCGGAAAATTAAGTCGAGAATGGTGTTATTTTCAGCTTTTTCACATCTTTAAGCAAGTTTTTAGATTAAAATCTCAGTTTTTTAAAGAGATTTGGGTAAAACAGGCCGAAAAATGAACAAATTAGGTCGAAAATGACATTATTTTTGCCCTTTCAAGCTGAATTAGGCGGAAAATAAGCGCATTTTTGAAACTCCACTCTAATATCTTTTTGAGTCGTAATAATCTAGTGTAAATAGATTTTTGTGAGCTGAGATCTTATGTATTTTTTTGAGTTGGAGTCACTGTTTCCAGGTTGACTTTTTGCTGGATTTTATCCAGTTGTACCAACCTTCGACCGAAATCCTCTGTAACATCAATTCGAGTTACTTGAGCCGAATAATGGACCTGAATACACCTCTGGACCGAATAAAAAAACTTCTCGATAGTTTACCCTTCGAGCACGCCATCGACATGTGCCACAACTTACTCACAATTCTCCGAAACTTGGAATATTTACAATTCGTTGCCGATTATTTAAACACCAACGTTTCAGACGATTTATTCCTGAAAAATGTCCAAATCAGTCTGAAAATGCTATCGGTTTTCGCGCCTCTGGAACAAGACCAACTTTTCTGTCTCCTAAACGAGCCTTTGAGCATCCTCGAAGTGCTCCTAATGAACACAAAACTGGACAAACTTGCTGCCATTTTGCACTTGCTCAACACACAACACAATCTGAGTGACTTCACCGATGTCATAACTACTGAAAAAATTGACGAGCTTTTGCGGAAATACGCCGAAAAGAGTTTAGATTTCCGGGTTATCACACACCCAAATCCGGGCTTGTTTAAAACACCGGAACCGAAATTATTACAGTCGTTGGATTCGCTTAGTTTGATGTCGGATAAGCGCCAGTTTGTGGTCCCCGAAAACGTGCCAACGAAGGAGGAGTGGGTGCAAAACGACGAAGTCGTCGAGTGCATGTGTTGCCACCAGGTGGCTTTTTCCATGTTCAATCGCCGCCACCACTGTCGGAGGTGTGGCCGTGTGGTGTGCTACAATTGCTCATTGAAGAGGATGTTCGTCCCCAGCTATGGCGATATTTTAGTGAGGGTTTGTTCCGATTGTTATAATCAAACAATTGGCGAGAAAAACGACAGCAATTCGGAGAAAAGTCGCTCTTTTATCCAGGAATATTGGCTCTTGAACGACGACCCCGAACATAATAAAATCATAAGAGAGGAGTTCTCCTACGAACACGCCCCTAGCACATCGCTGTGCTTCTCAATCCTGAGATATCATTCCAAAAGCGTCGAATATCCGAAGTAATAAAAAATCAAGTCTCGAGAGGGATTTTAAATGATTTTTTCAGGTTTTTATTGGAGCAATGCGAAGTTATGTTGAAGTTATTGCAACCGAATCAAGAAGTGGCCCAAGAAATCGACTATCTCCTCGTTATCAAAATGCTAAAGTATGGTAAAATCCCCAAGTGTAGAAATCTACTTTACCGATTCTAGATCACTCGCAACTGCGGCTAAAATGGTCTCGGCGGAAAATATGCTCCAATCGGGAGCTTCCATGGCCGACCGGATTCTCTATCAAACTGAACTTTTAGCTCTATTGGCCGAACGCGGGTGTTTGAGTCTCATGCCCAGTCAAAATATCTATGTCGATGCTAATGTTTTGCGACGATTGCGCGATAAACTGCTCCAGAGGGAGCAGTGGAACCTGGCCCTGGAGGTTTCCACCAAAGCGGGCCTTGACAATACCGGTAATTACCCGAAAAAGGCACTTTTGTTTGTGTTATAATGTGTTAAAATTTATTTGAATTAACAACACGAACCACGGAGCGGCGAGTGGAGAACAAAGGTTTACATGAATGGCCTGTAACAAGTCTATTTTGCGCTATTTTTAAAGAAAAATTAAGAAAATTTTGAAAATAGGGAATTTTGCTTTATTAAGATATTGGTAGACCGATTTTTGTTTTTTTTTTTGTGAAAACCTAATTTGTGCAAAAGTTAAATTTCTTCAAAGTCACAAAAAACAATACGTGTTTCTAATGTAACAATTGGAAAAGTGTCGCCTAAATTAAGTTTGACTTGGAAAAACCGATCAAGATATTTTACATTAGAAACACGTGTTTTTCTTTGTTTTTCATGTGTAACTTTGAAAAATTTTAACTTTTGCACAAATTAGTTTCCAGGTTTTTTTTTTTTAAATTGCATCAGAAAACTAAAGGAAAAGAAGTTTTTTAACGTAAAATGCCACGAGGATTGCGAATTTGATCACTTTGAGATGTAGACTAATATTTGTTTTTTTTTTCAAACTGAATTTGATGCAAAACCTCTGTAATTTTACCTAAAAAATTGCATAAGAAAATCAAAGAAAAATAAGTGTTTCTAACGTAAAATGACAAGAAGACTACGAATCTAATCTCGTATTTAAAAAAAAAAGATCAGTTTTTCAGTGAGATAGAGACCGATTTTTGTTTTTTTTTTGTCAAACTTAATTCGCAATTTTTTTTTAATTTCCTTCAAAATTGCATAAGAAAAATAACTGTTTGTAATGTAAAATGTCACAAAAACGCCAAATCTGTGCTTAAAATTTAAATGCATGGATTAGCTTGAGATTTTTCATCGGTTTTTCCAAGTCGAACTTTCACTTTCAATTTTCTGAACAATTTCACAAAAAAATCAAAGGAAAATAAGTGTTTTTAAGGCGAAATGACAGGAGGATTGTCAGTGTGTAGTCAGATTTTGTAAAAACTGTTAAATTTTTGAGAAATAGACTGATTTTTTTGTCAAACCTAATTTAAACCAAACCTTTCCAATTTTCTTAAAAATTGCGTAAGAAAATCATAGAAAAAGAAGTGCTTTTAACGTAAGATGATACAAGGATTACGAATTTGTACTCAGATTTGGTAAAAAAAATATCAGTTTTTGAGATATAGACCGGTTTTTTTTCAAGTTTAATTTGTGCAAAACTGTTTTAATTTTCTCAAAATTTT